TACCCACATGTTCACCACCGAGTAGGGCTGAGCAAGAACCGACCCGACCCGACAAAACCGAATTTTTTTCGGATATTATCCGATTGGGTACGGATATCCGACCCGCCCAACCAAATCCGAAAATTGGGCCAGCTTTGGGCGGTTAACGGGTTGCGGGTAGGGTTTATAAAACCCAGACCCGATCCGCCCGAAAACCCGATTCCCCAAAACGACGTCGTTTTTTATTATATATATATACACACACTTATACCTTCTGACTCCGGCCAAACCCTATCCGCCTCTTTCTTCGATCTGTCTTCTACTCTTCGCTCTATCCTCTCTCTTCTCATCCTCTGTGGCTCTGTGAGTTCTGCCTTCAGTTCTCCAGACCTTACTCAGTTACTCTCCTTTGTCCTCTCTCAGCCTCTCGTACTTTGATTTACTTTGGTATTTTGGTGGAAGCTCTGAGTGTGTCCCGTGTCCGCACACAGAAAGACTGAAACCCTAATCACCTAATCGGTGCAAATCGTTCTTCGCTCGTTCGAAACCTATTTGGTGGAAGTTCTTAACCTAAGTCCCTAAATCCTACTTCTAGTCTCTGAGGTATTTATATCTACGGTTTAGTTGTGAATTTGTCATGTATTTATGTGTTGATAAATTGATAGTATGAATGTATGATGATGCTGATAATGTAATTCATGCTTAATACCCTTATTCATTTGACGAGTGATAATGAATCTATGATGATGTTGATGTGTTAATGCTGAATAATATATGAATGTATGCTCAGTTGCTCCTCACTGACTAAGTGTTAAGAAAATGATTTCTGAGTACTAAACTGTGCATATTTGAAATGTGATCTTTGACTCTGTGAGAGTCTGAGTATTGAGAATTCTTAAACATGTATGCCTAATCTTTGAATGATGATGGAGCCTAAGTTTTCATCTGAATTCTTAAAGTTGTATAATCGTATGCCAATATCATTGATGATGGATTGAGGGTTGTCCTAAATTCTGAAACCTGTATGCCTAATGTTTGATTATGCATATCACTATATCAACATATGTGATAATGTGAATGATGATGTACTGAGGCTTGTTCTTAATTCTTAAAACTGTTTGCCTAAGGTATGAGTATGCATATGTGAATGATGATGAATGATGGAGCCTGAAAAGATGTTCTGAATTCTATAAGTTGTATGCCTAATGTTTGATTGTGCATATCAGCATAAGTGAATGATGATGAACTGAGGTTTGTTCTGAATTCTTAAAACTGTTTGCCTAATGTATGATTAATTCATTATGCATATGTGAATGATGATGAATGATGGAGCCTGAGGGTTGTTCTGAATTCTCAAGGTTGTATGCCTAATGTATGATTAGGCATATGAGCATGTGTGAATGATGATGAACTGGGGCTTGTTCTGAATTTGTAAAATTGTTTGCCTAATGTATGATTAATTCATTATGCATATGTGAATGATGATGAATGATGGAGCCTAAGGGTTGTTCTGAATTCTTAAAGTTGTATGCCTAATGTCTGATTAGGCATATTTGAATGATGATGGACTGGGGGTTATTCTGAATTCTTAAAGCTGTATGCCTAATCTTTGATTATGCATATGTGAATGATGATGAATGATGGCTTGTTCTGAATTCTTAAAGTTGTATACTTGTATGCCTAATATTTGATTATGCATATGTCAATGCTGATGGAGCCTCAATGCCTTATGTTGCAATATGCATATGAGAAAGGTATTATGAGCTATGTTTATATGTGCATACATGAATGATGATGGAGGCATGGAGCTTCAGGCTTAGCCCTGTTGTGTATTCTGAAAGGTAAAGTGTGGAAGGTAAACAGTTGAAGCCTCTACTATTTCTTGCATATGAAAGAAGCTACCTTTGTGACTCTAACACTCAAAGGAGTAGTAAGAGTCTATTGGTTCTTCTAAGTCTGTAGAGAAGAATTAAGCCTAGTGCTTAACTTCTTCTGTAAATCAGCAAGCTGATTGTTCCAGACTGTATGTTTATGAACTTATAGAATAAAATTTGACTCTCATCCTTCTGTGTTGAAAAATATGTGAAAGCTTAAGGGGTGGAAGCCTAATCTACCTGACTACCTATGTGTGTGCTTAATTACTTATTTACTTATATAGATGGATGGTCAAGATTGTGTTTCCATGCATGTATCTGGTGAACCTCCTCTAAGCCAAGAACCTGCAGTGGAAGCTCCCATTGTACAGAATGCTGATACTACTCAACAGACTGATATACCTGTTGGTTCTGGCCAAAAGAGGAAACAGGTTGAATCCAGGTCCAAGATATGGGAACACTTTGTAAAGATTTTTGATGAAAAGGGAGTTCTTATTAAAGGGAAGTGCATATATTGTGCAAGAGTATATTGTTGTCATTCAAAAAAACATGGCACCTCATCTATAAGAAACCACATGCTTAGTTGTCTGCAGAACACTCATTCTAAGGACACTAGGCAAGCCCTTTTAACCTACCAACCAATCACTGCTGCTATTCCTACTGAAGAACCTACTGGGGTTTTAGGAACCTGGGTGTTTGACCAAACTGCAATTAGAAGAGCTCTGGCAGAAATGCATATAATTGATGAGCTTCCTTTTAGGTTTGTTGACAGGCAGGGTTTTAGAAAGTTTATGTCCATAGCTTGCCCTAGATTTAAAATCCCTTCTAGGTGGACCATTGCAAGGGATATTTACCAAATCTACTTAGATGAGAAGCTTAATTTGAAAAGGCTGTTCAGGGAGACAACACAAAGGGTAAGTATTACTACTGACACATGGACCTCTGTACAGAGGATCAACTACATGTGTATTACTGCTCATTACATAGACCATCAATGGAAGTTTCAAAAAAAGATCATTTCCTTTGTCCAAGTTACTTCTCACAAAGGGGAGTACATTGCTAAGGCTCTTGAAAAGGCTGTTTAGGGAGACAACACAAAGGGTAAGTATTACTACTGACACATGGACCTCTGTACAGAGGATCAACTACATGTGTATTACTGCTCATTACATAGACCATCAGTGGAAGCTTAAAAAAAGATCATTTCCTTTGTCCAAGTTACTTCTCACAAAGGGGAGTACATTGCTAAGGCTCTTGAGAACTGCCTTTTAGAGTGGGGGCTGAAAAATATATTTACAGTTATTGTGGATAATGCAAGCAGTAATGATACAGCTGTAGGCTTCTTCAAGAAAAAACTATTATCTTGGGGTGCCTCTTCTGTTAAGGTTCAATATCTTCACATGAGATGTATTGCCCACATTCTAAACTTGGCAGTTCAAGATGGTTTAAAGCAAGATGACACTTCTCTATCTAGGGTTAGGGAAGCAGTTAAGTATGTTAGGAATTCTCCTGCTCGGCTTCAAAAGTTTAAGGACATATCTGACTTAATTGGGGTGGAAGCTAAATGTGGACTACACCTTGATGTTCCAACTAGGTGGAATTCCACATACCTAATGCTAAAGTCAGCTTTATGTAATGAAAAAGTTTTTGAAGCCTATGAGGAGAATGTAAGCAGTTATTCAGTTGATTTGGGTCTTGATACTCCAGATACTATGGATTGGATTTCTTGTGAGTCTATGGTCACAGTTCTTCAAAATTTCTATGAGATGACACTCAGGATTTCAGGCTCTCTCTATGTTACATGTAATACTTTCTTCTCAGAAGTGTCTGATCTGTTTCTGATCCTTCAGGACTTGATGAAGTCAGATAGACCTTCTACAAGTAGTATGGGAAGTACTATGAAATCCAAACTAGATAAGTATTGGGGAGATCCTGAAAAGATGAACTTTCTGATATTCTTTGCAAATGTTCTAGACCCTAGGGACAAGTTTGAATACCTGCCCTTTCAGTTGAATGCTCTGTATACTGAAAAAAAAAGGGTGAGAAGTTTTTTGAAAGTATTAAAGTAGCTCTGACTGGGTTATTTTCAGATTATGTGAGTAATTACACAGATTGTGTTGGTGAAAGCTCTGAATCAAGCTCAACTCCTGCTGGTTTAGTGATATGTGAGGAAGAGTCTGCAAGACCAGTCTCTAAATTCAAAGCACAACTTAAAAAACAGAAACTGGAGAGTGGGCAGTTGGGCTTGAAAAAAACTGAGTTGGAACTTTATTTGAGTGAGGCTATTCTTGAGGAAGATAAAGACTTTGATATATTAAGATGGTGGAAATTAAATAGTCAAAGATTCCCTATACTCTCAAGAATGGCTAGAGATATTCTAGCTGTTCCCATCTCCACAGTTGCTTCTGAATCCACTTTCAGTACTAGTGGCCGAGTTTTAGATTGCTTTAGAAGTTCATTGACTCCTAAAATAGTGGAAGCTTTGATTTGTTGTCAAGATTGGTTGAGAAAGCAAAACCAACCTCTGTCAATTGAAGAAAATATTGATGAACTTGAGAGGCTGGAAACAGGTTATTTTATTTTTATATGTGCTTAATGTTTATATATTTTTAGGATGCCTTAACAAATTTGTTTGTTTTTTTTTGCAGATTTAATAAATGGGACATGTGCTGCTTCTGAAAATGCCTCTGGATCTTCTGTGGATCCTTCACAAGTCAATTTAATGGTTTACTTAATTATTATAAGTTTATAAGATTATGCAGTCTGATGTTATTCAGTTTCTGAAAATTTTGGTTATGATGAAAGCTTCCACCATATACTGAAATAAGATTGGGTTGGTATTAGATGTAGTGGTGGTAATTTGGATTTGGCCTCCATTGTATCTTTACATAATGAGAATATGAGATGGCTTGAAACCTACCACTATCTACTTTGGATGCCCTCAATCTGGTTTGAATGGACAAGAAGCAATCTGAACCTATGTTTAATAACTTTGTGAACTGTAATTATGATCTTATGGATGTGTAAGTGTTGGATGTCTTGTATTCCAGTTCCCAGGTTGCCCACAACCCCTATTCACTTTCTGCTGCTATTCAGTTTCAGACCCTTTATCTTCTAGTACAACTGAACAAGTGCTTCTTCATTTAAATTTGTCTTTGTGATATAATTATTTTCCATTATAAGTGGTTCTTCCCATTTTGGTTATGATGAAAGCTTCCACCATATACTGAAATAAGATAGGGTTGGTATTAGATGTAGTAGTGGTAATTTGGATTTGGCCTCATTTATATCTTAGATAATGAGAATATGAGATGGCTTGAAACTCATCACTATCTACTTTGGATGCCCCCAATCTGGTTTGAATAGACAAGAGGCAATCTGAACCTATATTTAATAACTTTATGGATTGTGATTATGGAAGTCTTGGTGTTGGACTGTTGGATGTATTGTATTCCAGATTTCCAGTACCCACAAGGCCATAATCCATATTCAGTATCTGACTTGACTGACTATGTGCCTATGTGGTGCTATTCAGTTTCTGACTCTTTGTTTATATGTGCGGGATGATTATTGAGGACTTAGGACTGAGGAAGTGAGGAGAATTGGAAAGTCGAATGTGGTCATACTTTATAGTTTTTGCTTTGTAAACACTTATGCAGCTTTATGCTATGGTTTGTAAACTTTGGTGTCCTCCTTGTAGTTTTTGCTAAGTACTCTATTAACTTTTTCTGGACTTGGTTTGTAATTTAAGTATCAAGTATGTAAGCATGTAGCCAATAGGCAGTAGACAATTAGATATGTAGTTTGTAATGGTGCATTTGTAGCTTTGTGCAACTCAATCGGTTGGGTTCTTGATCAGTAAGATCACTACCAACTTTTTTTGTAAAAGAAAAATTGTAATTCTGTACTTGACAGTTTGTAAATTTGCAAAGTTTTTGCGTTTTAAATATAACCGAAGTAACCGATATCCGATCCGATATCCGGAAAAACCCGAAATAGTAATATCCGAAAAACCCGAAACCGAAACTCACCGGGTTGGGTTCAAAATATACATCATAAAACCCGAACGGGTTTGGGGTCCGCACACCCGACCTGCCCGAACCCGACCCGTGCTCTCCCCTACCACCGAGTTTATTGCCCGACGTATCCATGTGAAGATTATTTGTTATATTAATTGACATCTTCCTTAATTTCTTTCATTCTGTAAAACCTGGCTCCTCCGATTCCCTGGGTTATTTCTCAATCTCCCAACGGGCTGGTCATCGCTTAATTGACGCCAAGGCCTATCCTGACTCCTTCAAGGGCTGTAGACATAAGTGGGTTTGGGTTACCCCAACGGATGGTAGGCTTCCATTCGAGAACAAGTGGGAGGAGCTGATTCGGAGATGGGTGATGCCTATCCTGCCATAAGGGAATGACAAGGTCACCAAATTGATCGTAGAGGGCTCACCCTTCTTGATGGGGCACTACGTGGGTGAGGACGAGGTGGTTGTTCTTGAATTTAGATCAGGTCAGCAATGACCAATCGTATATTTGCTTCATTTTTCTTTTTCTGTTTACCTTTTCTGACAAGGTTCTTGTTTTGATTCAGCGGGCGATTCAGATGGCATCCCGACTGAAGCGCCTTGTTGCGAAGACTGGAGCCACCCCCAGTCCCCTGGCCCCATTTAGGAAAATCCAGACCCAGGGAGCACTTGGGGCCGCTATGGAGAATCCAGGGGGATCCACCCTCGGAGACGTTGCTGTGACTCTTACTACGCCGGTTGCCGACCTCTAGCCCCCCACTGTTAAGGGGGCTGGGAAGAGGCTAGAAATCCAGGCCATTTCTGGGCCTAAGAAGAAGAACAAAGTTGCCATGAAGCCTACTGAGGATGTTGTTGATGTAGATTCTGATTCGGATGCAGAGTCTCAAGGAGGTGGCAATCAGGGGAAAACCTCGATACCTATTCATACCGTCAGGCTCTCCATGAAGTTAGGCTCAGCCTCCATATTCCGCCGCACCGTGAACCCGGTAGCTTTGGGTTTGGCAGTCACACCTCCTGTTGATGCTGAGGAAATCAAGGACCTATCCCTTCGGGCAGCTATCCGGCACGCCATTCATGCCATGTCTGAGGTAGGTTTTGACATTCCCACCCTGTAACACCCCAACCCCGCAGGATCTGAGGTAGTTACTCCACACACTCTCTGGACCTCTAATACTGTCCCCGCAAACCACCACGAGCCTTTACCGCGCACTTTGTCCTCACTCATGCGTGCCCTGAGAAACTTGTCAGGGGGTCATCCATCCCAAGACTACTCCCATGCAAGCATGCTTAACCTTGGAGTTCTTGGGTGATGAGCTCCCTTAAAAGGAGATGCACCTCTATTGTTATGAGTAGTACTATTAATTCGTTTATATTAATCTCAAGTGTTACAATCACCCCCACTTAGGAGCACAACATCCTTGTTGCGCCCATTAACCAATGTCAATCAAATCCCAGAATCTTTCCCCTACTAAGTGCCTGCCCGATATCCAACGGATCAACACACTGTGGCAGGGTTGCTCTGATACCACCTATAACACCCCGACCCTGCAGGACCAGAGCTAGTTATTCCACATACTCTATGGACCTCTAATACTGTCCCCACAAATCACCATGAGCCTTTACCGCGCACTTTGTCCTCACTCATGTGCGCCCTGAGAAACTTGTCAGGGGGCCACCCATCCCAAGACTACTCCCGTGCAAGCACGCTTAACCTTGGAGTTCTTGGGTGATGAGCTCCCTTAAAAGGAGATGCACCTCTGTTGCTATGAGTAGTACTATTAATCCGTTTATATTAATCTCAAGTGTTACAATTTTCCTGTTTTCAGGCCTTCATACTCGCTTCCTCAGGTTCTCGTCATTTAGAAGAGGGGCATGATGATGCATGGGACCTGCTGGCGGACCTCAAGAAGAAAATGGCGGACCTGGAGCAGAGGCTGGAAGTGGCAGTGAAGGAGGCTGGCACGCTGCAGAAGAGTCTTGACAATCTTGAGGTTGCTCATCGGATCATGGAGGGAAAGCTGAGGAGGAAAGCCGAGGAGGCCGGTCCTGCTTCTGTCCAGGCCTTTCGGGGAAGTGAGGGTTTCCAGGCTGAGGTAGATCAGATCATCCTTGGCCGCATGCCTCAAATCGCCCAAGACTAGCTCGTATCTCCTGAGGGGGAGGCTAGGCCGGATGAGGAGTGAACCCTGTGCTTCAAGCTAGGCCAATAAGGGATGCAAAAGTCCTTGTACGAACTCCTCCAGAAGAGGGACCCTACTTTCTCTGCTCAGGCTTGGGGGCTGCCAATCCTAATGGAGAACCCAGAAGCCCCCAGGGGAGCCGAAAGGCCACAGAAGAGAGCCCAACCTTGGTTGACTCTGCCTCAGAAATTCCTCCCTCCTTATCTGGTAATTGATTGATCTTAAACACTTAACAAACACTCTTTCTGGGCCTGCATGTTCGTGGCTGTTTCCACCCTCGTGGTGGTGTGTAACTCAAAACATCTTTGCATTCCTTTTTCCTTTTGCACATATGTTTTATAACTGCTTTCTACCTGTTTTCTGAGGCTCTCCAGCCTTATTTGGGCTGATCTGCTTTCTTTGGACTCTTCCAGTCTTTTGGGTAGTTTGCCTCTGGCTCCAACTTCTTATAAGACCTGAATTCTGCGAGTTCTGGGATGCCTTACAGGCCTCACAGACTGCTCTAGGCTTTTTATTTTGTTTAGTCACAATGTCTTTACTTGCTATTTGCCTTGAATTTCTGATCAGGGTCATCTTTCCTGTTTTTAAAGAAGACTTTACCAAATTTTAACCCTTAGGCTCTTAGTACTTGAGCCAGATTGGGTGGGCTTTTCATTCAGGTTATTTTGACCTTTTGATGAGCCTCTTAATTGGCGAAGCTTGTGAGCCTCTCGGTGCAAAGTTAATGCCTTAGTTCATCTTTAGCCTTGTAAAATCAACCCTAACCTTGAGAAAGGTTGTTTTTTCCTATTTGAAGGAAATCTAATTTTGTTCATAAGGCTTTTTAACCTTGAAAAAGGTTGTTTTATTCTCGCTCTCGCCTTTTGGTAAGACTAAGTTGAGCTTCTAGAATTTAGATGAGTCTGGAATTTGTACTTTATCTTGTTGCGAGTACCAGTATGGCATGACCTTTGATCTTCTTCTTTTTTTGTCTTTCTTTTTACTGGTCTGTTAAGAAATCTTTGCAAGTGTATTCAACTGTATAGGACATTGGTGAACTAAAACGGAACTTTTATTTAAAACTTTTGCCAAAAAAGAACTACAAACTTACCGGTAGAATTTCAACAAATGCTCAGAATTCCACACCTTGTCTACCATTTTTCCTTTAGGAGTACATAATATGTAGGTCCCGGGCCCAACAATCCCCTTGATTTTGTAAGACCCTTCCCAAGTTTTAGCAAACTTTCCGCCCTCTAGCAGAGCTCCTCCTTAGGACTAGGTCTCGAATGTCGAACAGTCTCGGTCTGACCTTGGCATCATGATATTCTTTCACTTATCGCTTATAATTTTCAGCCCTGATGAAAGCTTTATCCCTCCTTTCTTCGATTAGGTAGAGCTCGATCCTTAGCATCTCCTCATTATCCTTAGGATCATAATCTTCCACACTTTTGCTCGGGACTAATGCCTCTAACGGCGCTCGAGCTTCAAAGCCATAAGTTAAAGCAAACGGGGTTGCACCGGTAGCTTTCCTTGGAGTCGTTCGGTAAGCCCAAAGTATGTTGTTGAGTTCGTTCACCAAGGTCGTTCCCATGGATGATTGTTCTATTTGCATTTTCCACCTACCCATTACATTGAGGATAACCAACAGACGCTCTGCTGGTCATGACTCCCCATTGCCCACAAAAGTCTTTAAAGGGATTAGAGTCAAACTATTTTCCATTATCAGTGATAATTTGCATGGGAACTCCAAACCGGCAAAATATATTTCTCCAAACAAACCTCTTGCATTGCTCAGCAGTGATAGTGGCCAGTGGTTCGACCTCAATCTACTTAGTGAAATAATCAATAGTGACTATGACAATCTTCCGACCTCCTAAGCCATGCAGAAGGGGACCCACGAGATCGATTCCCCACCTTGAGAAAGGGATTGCCGTGCTGATAGGGGTATATAGAGTAGCAGGCCTTCCTGGGTTCGTTTGGATATTTTGGCAGACCTCACACTTTCGTGCGAAGTCGACACAGTCTTTCACCATAGTTGGCCAAAAATACCCTTGCAAAATGGCTTTCCTACTTAAAGTAAACGCACCTTGGTGTGATGAGCAGATCCCTGCATGTAATTCTTTCACCACTTGCAGAGCCTGTTTCGGCCTTAGGCACTTTAAAAGGACACCATTATAACTTCTTTTGTAGAGCTTGCCATCTTGGATGACATAGTTTGGAGCCCGTCTCCTTAATACCCTTGCTTTTTCTTCGTCTGTGGGAAACATTCCTTCTTCTTTGTATTTTATGAGATCATCAATCCAACATTTAGGTGCATGAATGATATGCAAGACCTTATGATCCTTGGTAACTTTGGCTTGCTTAACTTGTAACACCCCCAAATTTCCCACCCAAAAATAATTCTTTATTCAAAAGAATTATCTACTTTATTTGAAAACATCAGAGTTATGCAGCGGAAAACCAAAAGGGAAATAGGGGCGTTACCGCCACACTCGGCTTTAACCTAACCGAGTGCACAGGCTAATCACCACAGAAATAATTAAACTCAATAAGTGCCTTGAAAATTAAATTAAACTACAATGTTATCTACTAATTACATTTTCTCTAACGGAAGCTCTCTCGAAATCAACATCACCAGCAAAGCCTTACCTGTACAAAATCAAGTACAGAAAGAAAAGTAAAAGAAAACAAAAATTAGCAACAATGCTAAGTAAGTTCCACTTAACCCCATAAAATAATATAATTTAATATTTTTGAAAAAAAACATTTAGGATGAAAAATATTTTTTTTAAAACAATTTATAAAATCTTCTCACAACATAATTCACTAGTAAAATAATAGTACTTCAAATATAAGTAAATATTCCAAACCACAATAATTACAAAATACCAAATATACATAAAGTACCAAAAATTATTCTCAAAATACTTCCAAATACTCATAATCAATTTTAGCATAATCAAACCGAATTAAATCCAAAAGTATTTGTACTTTGAAATTCCACAAATATTTTGATAATTAAATCCAACTCAAATTCAATCAAATAATCCAACAACTCAAATCCAATCAAATCAATATAGTTCTCCTCAAAACCTCAAAACATCAATCCAAATATAATTTGTACTCCTAATACATTTGAAGGGCGGTCTCAACATTTTATTGAGCCCGATGGTCCGTTGTTATGTATGGCTACCCCGGGACTTTTGCCGGTACCACTTCTAACCTGAGGAAACTGAACATCTACCTTAAGTGTGCACACCCCCTGAAAGGGATTCCAAGCCCTACGGGTAGTAAGAAGCCCAAGTAGTTCGGACGTCAACGTCCCTCTACCCACCAAAAAGGGATTACCCTATAGAAGTGAATAGGTTACTGCTACTACTGCCAAATTCCACCAAATATCTATCGTTCGGGATTTTTCTACCGAACGCACCAAACTCATTTATTGAAATTGTTCGGATTGGTTACCGAACCCACCAAGCAAATAGTAGCATCCCTTATCACTCTCCACAAGCAAGGTCGTGGAGAACACCGACACCGCGGATTTCTCCCGCGATGCCCTTACATTGAAAGGTTCTTTTTATCTTGATTACTTTTCAAAAATTCTATATCTATTATTCATAGATATAGTTTTAGAATAAGGATTATTATCCTTGGATTTCAAAACACAATTTCACCATGTAGTTCAAAATATCTCGATCTCTAATAGCTTTCAAAATCTCATAGACATAAATTTCCAAAATAAGAGTTAATTGATCATTTAAACTTTAAACTCGAAATTTCCAAACATGATCAAAGATGTAGAATACTTCATAAATAGCTCAAATCTCAATCCCAATAATGATTCATACATAACTTCAAATACTCAAAAATATCACCCAATATTCAATACTCAAATCTTAAATATAATCCTCAATAACAATCCATAAATAATTCTAAATACTCAAATACAAAGTATAAATGTAAATGCTAGAATCTCACAAAGTACTCAACTAATTTCAAATAAATAATCATATATAGATTTACGAGGAAAAGGTAATATAGGTTGATGTAGAACTTACCTCAACTCCAAGTACTCTAGTGAAATCTTCTGCTTTGCTCGTCACCCATCTACCTTCTAAGAATATCGGAATTGTATAGGAAATTTGGAAAAAGAAGAGTTGAGAGAGTGTCTCTCCTGGGTACATTCGCGACCCAGTTCTCTTCGTCCGTACAACCTATGGCTTCGCTAATCTTGGTCTGATAGTGTTAAAGACTAATTCCCAGGTGTTCCTTGGTCGATTCTTAGCTCTAAGTCCATTTCCGAGTCCGGAATTGCAATTAGAATGATGAATTACGGCCAAATAATGTGAACTGATTGTGTTGTGTACTGTTCATCTGCGAATCGTTTTTGTGTAAACAGAATTAAGGCGTGAGTTGTGTTTCGTCAAGCTTAGGATCTGGTTTGTGAGCAGAGAAAGCTTGTGTACTGTAACCTAAGTCGCGATTCATCGTCCTTGTGTCCTGCTATGGCGTTAACCAACCGTAACACACGCTCTTCATCCAGATTTTCTGTACTGGCAGGGTCGGATAAAGAGTTCCCGACGCTGAGTGATGGGAATTTGATGAAACGGTCAGAGAGGGTTCTGATTGATGCTGCTACGAGAGTGAATTCCTCTGAGAATGCTGCTTTGAAACAGGGGACTGGTACTACACTCAAGCCTTCTGTGAAACAGGGGACTGATGCAGTAGGTGTACCTGTGGAAGCAGCTGCTACTGCTGGGAAGACACCTGCGACTAAACCTGCCTCTTCTGAGGCTTCAGCTGCACCTGCGTTTAAAGCAAGTGATGCTACTTCTGAGACCTTACATGTTGTGACTCCTACTGCAACAAAGCCGCCTCATGCTGCGAAAGAAAAAAATGCTGCTAAGAAGCCAAATTTGGCAGTAACTGATAACGCACAGGTTATAAAGCCAACTTTGGCAGTAACCACTGATGCACAGGCAGCTCAGCCGAAATGGAATGCCTTTTTAAGGATAATCGTGATCCAAGACATGGCATCAAACTGAGATATGTCCCTCCTAAAGGGGAAACCTTGGACTTTGGAGATCGTGTATTACCTTCCATGGTCGAAATGTGGGGCTACTGCCTAGTTGGACACTTCACCGGAAAATTCCCCGGACTCAAAGCGGTTCATGATCTTAAAGCTACATGGGGTGTGAGATGTCTTGTCAGGTCCCATAACAAGGGATGGCTAATCTTTAAATTCACAAATGAGGAGGATAGATTGAAGGTACTACATGACGGTCCTTACAATGTTTTTGGGAAGCTCCTAATGCTCAAAGAACTCTCGGATGACTTCTCGTTTGAGAATGAGGAGTTTCTTAAAGTACCAATTTGGGTCAAGTTCCCTAAATTACCAATGAAGCTATGGAATGACGAAGCTATGAGTGAGGTAGCATCTATGATTGGGGTCCCAATAACCACGAACAAGATCACTCAAGAGAGGGCAAATAATGAATTTGCTAGAGTGCTTATCGAAGTGGATGTTTCAAAGCCACCGCCACTTTCTTTTCCTATACGACTACCTTCCACAAAGGTAATCAAACAAAGTGTGCTTTATGAAACTTTTCCTAACTATTGTTTTCATTGCAAAGAATTTGGGCACCACCCTTTTATTTGTAAAAAGCTTGCCAAAAGGATTGATGGGGAAAGTGAGAACAAAGAACCGAGTGTTGAAACAAATAAGGTTGTTGTTAGTGAGGCCACTCGGACAGAGGTTGCTTCCCAGGGATACCCGACCGGGGGTACATCTGGCCCGAGCGGGCCTCTTGCAAAAATTGCAGCAGTTGCTGACCCTGCTGCCTGCCCGACCAGGCATACCATCAACCCGACCGGGTCTACCGGGCAGTCTGCAAGAACTGCCACTTTGTCCGTGACTGTACCAGCTGCATAGGGACTTTCTTAGGTTGATAAAGCCTCCGAGGTTGGTTTGAAAGATGTCGAGAGGACTGTGATGGACCAAAGAGATGTGAAGCAGAACGATGTGGTTATCAAATGTGAGATAATAAACGGTAAGACACTTAAGTTAGTTGTCAAACCGTTTAGATTCGTACATGCTAGTGTGATTAGAGTGGATACCTCTCTGCGACTTACGGATGATTTGGATAGGAAGGGCCTTACATTTACCGCGAAATGTCTTGAAGGATTGCCGGGAGTTACAAAGAAGAAAGGGGAGGTTTGCTTTGATTCAAAGTTCACTACTCCTTTCCGATGTTTTCTTGGATGTTAAATTAGTACTACCTAATTGTGTTGATGGTTTTTCAGATTATTATTGCTCCTAATGTCTTTTAGGTTCAATATGGTTGACTTGTGAGGATGTTTAGTCTTGATATTGTGACATCCCATTTATTGGGATATGCACTTTGTTTGTAACATTAATTTGTGAGGTGGGGTCTGTCCCATTATCTTGATGCATTATATCTAGATTAGTTTATTCTAGCTTAGATAGTCATTTTGATTTGGATGTGATGCATTGTAAAATGATATTTTTTTGATTTCTAATATACTTACATGTTATCGAAAAAAAAAAGAATATCGGAATTGTATAATTAATAACTATTCCATTCCCTTAATAATTATTTCCCAATTACGATTTACTTTGCTCATTTATAATCATTAACCCAATCTAATTTAATTCGGTCCAGATTCCTATAATAAAGGATACGACTCATTTAAGTCAATTCCAGCCCATAATAATAAAACTGAAACCCAACTAATAGATTAACGAGTACGTACTTTCTTCTTCGCAGGTTGATGCCGGCCAACGACTTGGCGACGGATACGGTGAGGATTCTCCGGAGGTGGACTGACAGTGGCAGCTCTCCTTTCTGGTGGTGGTGGTTCGTCCAGTGACTTCTTCAGTTCGGCAGCAGAACTCCCGCGATGCTGCAGTCCCGGCGATGGGTGTTTTGTCGGCGAAGCTTAAACTTTGGCGACGCAGCAAGTTCGTTCGCTATCATGGTCGTTAGTTTCAGCAGTACTGGGGAAACACACTTTTCTATCTCAACTGCGCGGCGAAACAAAGAGCAGGTCATTCTTTGGTCCTGGCCTTCCCGATGTCAAAAGAAAGCAGTCTGGTGCGGTGGTCGGCTGGTGGCGATAATGAGATTGGCGCGACCCGTGCGGCGGTTCCTTCTATTCCCTTCTCTCTCGTTCTGGTTTTCTCCCTCAGCGAAGATATATAACAGAAGAAGACGGTTCATAATTCTTTCTGGTTTTCTTTTTCCTCGCAGGTTTTGGATGCGGTGACTCAGCCGATTGTAGACTAGTAGTATATATACATGCTCAAGAAGGTTCTAGGTCTAGGGTTTTAAGCCGTTTTCCTTTTTAAACTTGCGCATAATATACGATGTAGTAGCGGTCATACGTTGAATGTAGTACGCATATGTTTTCCTTTTGATGTATGGGCCTGGACTTGATCAATACGTAGTATTATTAGAATGATAAAGTCAACACTGTACTATTATTAGCTTTTACATTATGAAATCACCATTTGTAACATAAATGTCACATTTTTCATATGTTAAAATTTATCTGATTATTAGAAAATTTATCTACTTTATTTATTTATTTATTTTTTATTATTTTATTTGTACTTAAATTATTATCCGAGCTATGCGAGTGAGGTGCTCAGGTGCATCTGTTGTTAGTTTGAACAAGATATCTACCTCCCCGTTCTGGGCTCGTGGGACACATACTAGGCCGGACTCCTCAAAGTGTTTGATAAGCTCCAAGGCTGCATCCCTATACTTTTGCATTCGTGCTTCTTTGGCTTCATATTGCCCTCTAAGTTGTTTGATCACCAACTTCGAGTCACTTTTGACCCTTAACTTCTGAACTTTGAAGTAACTTGTGATCATGAGGCCGGAAAGTAAGGCTTCATATTCTGTTTCATTGTTCGATAGGGGGAATGAGTATCTGAGGGAATAATAAGTCTTGAAGCCTTCAGGGGGTGATGAGGACCACCCCTCCCCCGCAACCTTTGGATCCTGATGATGACCCATCAGTCATCAGGGTCCACCAATTTTCTTCATCTCGACGTCTCTCCTCGGCTACATCTCTGCATGCAGTGCATTCCACCACAAAATCTGCCAAAGCTTGGTCCTTTATTGATGTTCTAGGTTGGAAACTTACTTGATATTGACTGATCAATAAGGACCACTTTACCACTCATGCAGCCTTGGCCGTTCTGAATAGGGTACCCACCCCAGGTCGGACAAGAGGATAATGAAACTCCACAACTATCAAGTGTAGTTTTCGATCTGAGCGCTTCGGTCAAAGATGTATGATCCAATCATCCAATATCCACTCTAATTCTTTTATGTTCATGATGCTAAGCTTGATGATACTTTTTCTACTCCTTCTTGAACAAGCTTTGGGAATTGGGATCTTTGGAAGTTGAAGAAGTTGAGACCCTTAAGTCCTAATGGTTGATATAGGGATAACAAAGGTATTTGCTCTTCTGCCCCCCCCCCCCCTCTCTCTCTCTCTCTCTCTCCAATAGATTTTCTTCATTTTTCTCTCTAGAACTATCCACAACCTTCACCTCTCCTTTTACATCATTTGTAGTACCATCATGACCCTCGTTTCTGGGTCTGATGGTGAGCATGTGCAAAGACAGTTGTTTGAATTGTGCTCGAGAGAAGAATAAAAGGCGGATACACAACCTTTCAGAACTGCAATCTCGACCATGCACACCTGTTGGTAGTGGCCGGACTGCAAGTATCCACTACTTGAATTCTTATGGCTTCAAGAAACTCAAATTCGATAGCTAAGAATATCCTGAATTTGGTTTCTTTGGGAACTTCCTTGGCCGTAACATATTCTCTGTTATCTCCCACTAAAGCGTTAATCATATATTCAGTTTCCTTGCCTTTTAGAGTCACAAGAGACAAAACACACGAGGCTTGTTTTACCGTTTTATTAGCTCCATTTATAAAATAAAAATCAGAGAATTGATGTGAATTAAAAAAAAAATCCTTTTCAAGTTCAAGTATGTATTTGACTCCAATCAATGAATGAAATAATCATTCACGATATTTACAAATATAACAAGAATAATTAATATTATTCCCGAAAATTAATCAATAAAATGAGTAATCAATTGAACGAGTCGATAATGAAATTAATGTAAACGTGAGATAGGTTCAACCAATTCAAAAATGAAAATGAGAAAGGATTATATTTTTAATAATTAATCACCTCAAGGAGAGCTCTAAGAATCGCTTTGCTTATTCAGAATACAAGAACACTCAAGAGATTACGTGGTTAGGATGGATATGAGATAGAAAAAAGGGTGTTCACACTTATCGGAATTGAATTTTATTTGTAAAAAATATAGGATTTGGTCTCAATCGACAATAGCTCATGTTAATATGAGTAACCAAAAAGCTATATATGATAGTATCATAGTACTATCTTATATTTTATATCTAGAAGCTGTATAGAAATTAAAATTTTAATAAGGGACTCTTTTAAATGATATTGGACCAATCTCGAATTTTATTGGCCAACCGTTTTATGCAGTGAATTGAATTTATTAGTTCATCTAGTTTCAATAATTATTCCTAAATTACTTTGGATCAATTAATTTATAAGATCTCAATAATTTTGAAAATTATTTAAACAATAGCCCATGCATATTCATGAGGTAAAGAAATTTTACAAGTCACAGTTGTAGTGTTCTACCTAAAATTATTTGAGTGAACTCATTTTAAGAAAACTTGAAGATTCAAAGATTGGAGGTTTAAATATTCGAAGATCAAAGATTAGTATTTAAAGATTCTAAAATGCAAAAGTGATCAATGAAGATTCAAACATTGGAGCCTGCCGCTACTTGCCAAGCTCCTTTATTCTTGATCCCTTCTAAACAGGGTCTTCCACGAACATTCAAAACTAGAGATGGCATTTGTGACCGAACCGATGGATACCCGCACCGAATCGCCCCGGTCAAAACGGGGAAAACCGCTTTGACCGGGTAACGGGTACGGGGCGAGGAATACCCGTTTTGTTTTTACGGATAATGGGGCGATTACGGTTTTATACATGCCCACCCCATTACCCGCCCCGTACCTGCCCCATTTATTTTTAGTTATATTTTATTACATTTTTATCTATTGCGGAGTATTTGTCTCACAACTATTAAAATATGAGATTTTTCTCTTTCCACTATGTATATATAGATTATAGATCTACTAAATATATTGGAATGAAAGTTCTTAATAGATTTTAACAATATTGTTTGATTATTACCATATTTTTCGGGATTAATTATTTTTTAGATTAAATATTTTTAGGTTCAAATCAATTTAAGTTGTTTGCTTTCTCATCTTGTAGATATATGAATCTTTTAAGTGGCTCTGAAGTTTTAAGTCGTCTAGACAATGTCATTTTTCGCCTTTTAAAAAATAATTTTTATATCAAAAATTTAATAACTCATTTAATAAAGTGGTTACTCGCGGTTACCCGAAAATTTACCCGTTACCCGTTGGTGCGGTTATGGTTTGAGTAAAAATTACCCGTTGGGTAATGGGGCGGTTACGGGGCGGGAAATTATCTAACGGGGCGGGTACGGTTATATGTAAAACCGTCCCCGATCCGCCCCGTTGCCATCCCTATCCAAAACTCTGTTTCCTTCCTTCCGTGGCGGTGGTTCAGGAGGAGGCCGGGCCATCAAAATCGTTGTGCCTGCTACTTCATCACCGGCCAAACTCAGCGCTTTAACCGGTCTCCAAACGGACGCCATACTATTGCGAAAAGAATTGAATCAAACCATCTTCTCTGGTCCCAACGTGAGCAAGCCTTCCAGCCACCGCATCCGATGATGTGGCCTCCACCAAAATAGCCTCGTCTTCATCATCATCCCTTTCCATGTCGTCGTAAGCCTGGACTAATTGCTCCATCTCAGCCTGTTCCTGATTCGCATCCATCATCTGTTCATCACCGTGCTGTGCGAAGTCCCAAACCCCCTCTGCTGCCCAGCGCTTATGCTCCCTTAACTCAAATTCGTCTTGCCTATCCACCGAACTCGTAATAAATTCAATTAAAACATTCTATTACTTCTAATTTAATGTAAGTGCACGCATAATAAATTTAAGTATACGTATTATTGGTATTACTTTACTTCCGCATATATACAACATTTAAATATAAGTGAGAAAAACTATCACGTCACAATTATTTTATAGAGACATAAAATAAATATAAAATGACATTATTGATTCAAATATATAAGTGCATATATTTTAATATTAAACATAAAAAAGAAAATATTCATATTTAACATGTATAATGAAATTTAAAGATATACTTAAAGATTGAAAAAATATCATTGAATATATATAACAAAAATGACATACTAAGTATTGTAGTTGTTTGATTATAGTGAAGAACATTTGTGTTTACATTTAGGGTTTTTATATAATGACATTTTTAATATTTTAAAACTTATGAAGGTTGACCAGTTTTTTAGCATTGACCGGTTAACCCGCTGATTGTTTTTAATTTAAACTCAAGCGAGGCACATTTAAATAAAAAAGGCAGTCTTAGGCAACTAATTTTTAGCTAACCGTATGTTTACCTTATCATATAAACATGGAAGTCAGTCACTGCTCTTAGAAAGATATTAGATAACAATATCAAATAAATATAAATAACAAATAATTTATATATAATTACAATTTAGATAAAATAATTGTTTATAATTATTTTATAAACTTCAAATTTGAAAACGTACCCGATATTCTTGCCGAAATCTTTAAGATCAAGTTCAACCGTCTCATAGAAGAACTCAAAGATAGGAAACTATTCGGAGAACCTCAAGCACGTAAGTTCTCTCCAATGATGTCTTGGTTTTAAATAAACATAAATATAATTACGTACTAATTTATGCATTGATTATATATGCAGTAATTTACACTGTTGAATTTCAAAAGAGAGGCCCCACATTGTCTTTTTTCTGCGTTCTGAGAACGAGTTGAGAGGCATTGATATGGTAATATCAGCTGAACTCCATGATCAACTCCAAGATGCAGATTGTGTGTGTCTCATTATCTTGAGGAGGATCATCCAGAGTATATGGTTTGCACATATATTTATTATTACTAGCTTCGGCGCGCGCGTTGCGCGACGGTTGGGCCCAACATTCGGTAAAGCGAGAAAAATGTACTTTATTAAAAAAAGGATGCACAAATACATCACAAAGAATTAACTTATGGGAGGCCTCTAACATTTAAAACACCTAAATTTCCCAAACTTTTCCCCTTTTTAGCGATGTAATCCCGTGCCCATTGGAAAACAAAGGAAAAAGATGTGCAAAAACAATTAAACTCAAAACAAAAAAGAGTAGTTCAAATACGGAGCTTACCCAATGACAACTCTACCAGAGAGTCTTAAAGTTCAGCAAAAATGAAATGAAAATCGCTCCAACATTGAGGATTTTAGAAAATGAATGAACCCTAGGATGTTGTTCTCATT